CATCTTTTCCTGTCTTCTTCCCCAGTCTTTTTTTTTCTTGTATCTCTAGTGGTCCCTTGGGCTCTGGATTTAGAATCATTCTAAAACATCAGAAGGAGGAGGGCAAAATGGGGACTACAGAAGGGAGGTACAAGATAAAAGAAACTTTCCTGGTGTGGCAGTGTTCTCTGATCATGGGAGGAAGAGAAGGTGGAGTCTCTGCAGCATCTTTCTTTGTCTTGATGCTTCAACTTTCTTTCGTATACACTCTCTAAGTCTTTTCCTCACCAACTGGTCATCTTGGGAGGACCCGGAGTCAAAGACATCTGAATAAAGTAAGTGGATTCTGTTATCTGCTTCATTCCTCTTCAACGGTCAAGTCTCCCATGTTTTCTTTCTGTCCAATACACCCATCTTCCTAGTCCCCTCTACACCTAATAAAACCCAAACCCTTATCAGCATTTCTCATGTCTGGTCCATTCTGATACTTAGACCCGTATGACTTTATCTTTTCCACTCATAGCTTGTTTCTGTATTCATTCATGCTCTGCCTAGCCTCCCTACAGCTTTTATGATCTCCCATTCCTAATTATATCCTTTGTATTATACTTATCTTCTCTCATTGAATCTCTTGTCAATATAGCACATTTATTTTACCCAAATATCATCCATTTGATCAACAGAAGTTCCAATTTCTTTGCTCTTACTCTAACTTCCTTACATTTTATCTTGTCTCTGTGGGTCTGCTGATTCTTCTATATTCAATGTCTGTTTTCCTTACATATTATTCCAATTCTGTCAGATTTTCTGGTAACTGATTTAAGTTCTCTACTCTTGATCATTTCCACCCAACTCCTTTTTACATTTTGCTCTCTTTATATTTGATTCCTATCATTTGCAATTCATCTAGTCTGCCCATATCATTCCTTTCTCAATTTTCCCCTCCATCCATGCATCTATGCAACCATTATAACACGTTTACTATTTAGTTGCTAAAGCAGACCCTAAAATAAGGACTATTGTCAAAAGAAGAGATGGAAATACCAGTAAATAATCTATATCGGTAGAAATATGGGTAGTTTTGGAAGGTGATAACCAAGAAATTGAAATGTGAAAGATAAATAATTCCTAGGTGTACTTTTGACAGAAGGAAGAGTATGTGCAAATCATAGAGTTAGAGAATATCACAGCATGTTTAGAAAAAGGAAAATAGTAGGCAATGACTGGATTACTGTAGGACAGTTAAAAGGAAATACACATTTGACACATTATTGAGGGATTTTGTATGTGCTCCCCAAAATCAAATGCTCTTGGAGTCAAATTTCTACATAAAATTTCACTCAAGAAACAAGTGGAAATTAGATTGAAAGAAGTTGAGGTTGGGGGAAAAAGACCAGGCAATAGCCTATTGAAATAAAGTCAAGAAATAACAAGGACGTGACTGGTATAAAGGACTAGGGGGAAGGCAGTAGAAATAGGACAGGAGAAAGGGGACAAATTTAGGAGATAATTAAAGAGGAAGTTTAGATAAAACCTGGATTAGTTGTGAGTGGGATGTGGGGTTGGGGTGGGGAGGATAGGTATAGAAGATATAGGGAAATTCTGGATCTCCAGTACAGTATATACTGCAGAGAAACTAGTATCATTCATTGTGATAGAGGAAGAACAGGCTTAGACAATTTTTTCTAGACATATTGTATTTGAGGGACCCATGTGGCATCAAGGGAATTATATCCACTCTTTGCTATACCATTAAGGATGTATGTGGCCACTTTGGCATATAGTACCTCTTTTATATCTACCTGAGCAGTAGCAGCAGTGATACAGCTAGTAAATGATATATGGGCTTTCACGAGCTCTCATGGGAACAGTAATGGGAGGAACCCATTACCAAATCAGTGAAAAGGAAAAGAAAGAAAGGACAACTAATGGTTCTATGAGGAGATGCCACATGAGTCAAGATTTGAAGGTTAAGGAGGAGTTAGGTGATAAACATGCTGTACGTCAAGAGCTGCAGGGTGTAAGATACAATGTAGGTCGTGACAAGAGGTAAGGTTTTGATGACAGCAGTAGCAGGTCATGAAGCACTTATGCCTTGTTAAATAGCTTGAACGTGGTTGTGTAGACAATGTGGTACTATGGAAGGTTTTAAGTAGGGTAGTGAAATGCTCAGATTTGAGCATTAGGGGAGATACTACAGGCAGTGAGACCAATTAGGAGGCTAATTTTTTTTTTCAAGTGTGTAGAACATCAAATGTGAAGGCAGAGGCAGAGAAGATTAACAGATAAGCAGAAAGGTCTGAGGCCAACAAGGTCAAATAAACAGTTACTGGCATATGAGGCAGGTATTGAGGATAAAGGATCAAAGCTAAGGTTATGGATAACAACTGTAGTTTAGAGGTTCCCACATGAAGCTAGTATATGGTGTAAGAATAGGCGTGGCAGATTAAACTTTCAGGGATGAGAAGACAAAGATATGTCTCTACCACCAGACAATGAGCTCCTTGAAGACTTAGTACATGTGTTATTTACCTTTTTCTGTACCACAACTCTTAGCCTGCGGTCTGGGCCATATTTGATCCAGCAATACTTTTGAAATAAATAAATGGTGGGTGTGGAAAGTAAGGTTGGGAGTGATGGGAAATGTAAGCCAGGGATATGGCATTTTGTAATTGCATTAAAGTACTCTCGTACTGAGAGGAATGCCAAGGTCTCAAGTACTGAGTAATGCTCAAGTTTTGCTCACAGAGCATAAAGAGAAGAGGAACTCAGGTATAAAGTCATCTGCAGTTTTGATGTTTTCAGATTCCATATATAACTGAGACACACAGTATCTGCCTTTCTCTCTCTGGCTTATTTTACTTAACATAATGCCCTCAAGATCCAACCATCTTGTCACAAATGGCGGAATTTCCTTCTTTTTTATGGCTAAATAACAATGCATTGTATATGTATATATTTTCTTTATCCTTTCATTGATTGATGGACACTTAAGTTGTTTCCACGTCTTGGCTACTCGTAGAAACAGAAAGTAGAATAGTGGTTGTCAGAGGCTGAAGGCTGGGGAAAATGGCAGATGTTGGTCAAAGGGTACCAACTTTGAGTTGTAAGGTAAGTTCTGGGGATCTAATGTAGAGCATGATGACTATAGTTAATAATACTATATTGTATACCTGAAGGTTGCTGTGAGCGTAGAGCTTTAGCGTTCTTACCGTAACAACAAAATGGTAATTGTGTGAGGTAAAGGATGTGTTAATTAATGTGGTAAAGACTTCACAATATATACTTCTATCAAATCATCACATTGTACACCTTAACTTATCCAATGTTATATATCAATTATATCTCAATAAAGCTGGGAAAAAATCATTAGCAAGTTGAAGCTTGATGTGTGAGCACATTCTGTCCCTGTTAATCTCAAAGGAACACGCCTAAGACTAAAAAGTAAAGACTCTCCTGAGGGAAAGTAGCCCCCAGTTGTTCATCTGGTTCTCCCCCATTCTTTCTAATCTTTATACTCCCATCCAATTTTATGATCATACAGGGACACTAGGGTGACAACAACCCTTTCTTCATACCAACTCCCACGTGGATATGTCAGATCCACATCTGATCCAGTAGAGGCTTGAAGTTTTGAAGGGGCAAATTATATTTTTGATACCAAGGTAAACAAAGAGAGTACTCTACTAAATGTATGCTTTTGTATTGATCTTGTTACAGTCAAAGTAACTAAACAAGGAGGCTGTTGAACTGAGGTGGTTCTCACGCTTTAGTAGCCTACATGAGCAAACCAAACCTTACACCAGAGTCAATTGCAAATGCACTTATGTCCAAAACAACAAAATTTAAGAACTAATCACAAACATCCAACTAGGCATTCCCAAATAAGGCAACCACTCAAGCTATAGCCAATCAAATAATGTCCTTGCATTGCTTCAGCCTCTGCTCTATGAAAGCTCTGCCCCTAGCTTTTGACAGTGGAGTGCTCCTAACCATTTTCAGTTAGGCACTGCCCGATATAAATCGATGTTGCTCAAATAAACTATTGAAAATTTTAAAGTCACTTGGTTTAGCTGTTAGGGATACTAAAGGAAGGTGTTCTACTCTCATTCCAAGATAGTTAGCACAACCTTCAGAACTGAAGGAATTCTCAGTTCTTCAGAAATCCAGAATCCACTTCCTAATATGATTTCCACATGGGTCCCACATCCTCCTCTTAAGTACAAGGTTATGTAGGACTTTCATTCTATAGGTGCCATAACCTCCTTGGGTTCTACTTTTTCCCTCTTCCTTGCAGGAGGAAATTGCATCCCTAGCTGAGCCCCAGAGACCCTCCGCTCTGGGTGTAAATACAGGATGTATCTTACAGTCCCTCCTTCATGTTGCCTGAATATTTTAGAAGCTCTGAGGTTCTGACTTCCTGCTTCCATCTCTTACTATCTGTGTGAGCTGGAACAAGTCACTTAATCTCTCTATGCGTCAGTTCCCTTAGGTGTTAAGTGGGGTTAATAACAGTACTTACTCATAGGGTGAAGATTAGGTGGATTAATATCTATAAATTTTTCAGAATAGTTCCTGTACTAATAACACATTGTAAACACTTAATTGTGTTATATGTTACTGTTATTCATCCACTGTGTAACTTATTTCCTCAAAACAGAGTCATAATCCAGCTCATAGACAAACTCTCACTTCAGGGCAGCCCAGACTCTTAATATTTTGGTTTTGATCTGTGTTTTTAAGGGACCAACTGGTGCTTATCAATACATACTTCTCCAAGGGCCAGAATACACTCCTATCCTATCCCAATACAAAGTAGCTTATTTTTGTCCACTTTTATCTTAGCTCATTCCCAGATTACAGAAGAGAACGACGGCCTCAGCTCAGCGATGAATTATACGCACTACACACGTTGCATTCTACTAATACAAACCCAGCGAGAGGAAGTCTGGGTTCTTGCTGCTGTTGCCTCCTGAGGACACTCTATTCTCTTCTGAAGGGCAGCAGGCATGACTGACACCATGGAGAGGAAGAACCAGAGTGGGAGAGTGAGTGAGTCTGTGTTGCTGGGCTTCCCAGCTCCTGTGCCACTGCAGGCACTATTATTTGCCCTTCCTCTGCTGGCCCATGTGTTGGTGCTGACTGAGAACACACTCATCATTATGGCAATCAGGAACCACCCCAGCCTCCACAAACCCATGTACTTCTTTCTGGCCAACATGTCCTTCCTGGAGATTTGGTACGTTACCATCACTATTCCCAAGATGCTAGCTGGCTTTGTTGGCTCCAAACAGGGCCATGGGCAGCTAATCTCCTTTGAGGGCTGCATGACGCAGCTCTGCTTTTTCCTGGGCCTGGGATGCACTGAGTGTGTCCTCCTCGCAGTTATGGCTTATGATTGTTATGTGGCCATCTGCCGTCCTCTCCACTACCCTGTCATCGTCAGTGGCCGGCTGTGTGTGCAGCTGGTAGCTGGCTCCTGGGCTGGAGGTTTTGGCATCTCCATGGTCAAAGTTTTTCTCATTTCTCACCTCTCGTACTGTGGCCCCAACAACATCAACCACTTTTTCTGTGATGTCTCCCCCATTGCTCAACCTTTCATGCACTGACATGTCCACAGCAGAGCTTACAGACTTTGTCCTGGCCATTTTCATACTGCTGAGGCCACTCTCTGTCACCAGGGCCTCCTATATGGCCATCACCAGTGCTGTGATGTGCGTTCCCTCAGCTTCTGGGCTCCATAAAGCCTTTTCCACCTGTGCCTCTCACCTCTGTTGTGGTCATCTTCTATGCAGCCAGTATCTTCGTCTATGCCCGCCCAAAGGCAATCTCAGCTTTTGACACCGACAAGCTGGTGCCTGTACTCTACGCTGTCATTGTACCACTGCTCAACCCTATCATTTACTGCTTGCGCAACCAAGAGGTAAAGAGAGCCTTATGCCGTACTCCGTGCCTATACCAGGGCCGTGATGCTAAGCCTGGGAAAGCTAGCAGTGTTGGGTAGAAGGGAGGTGTTAAATCTTAGATAATGCTCTTAAACTCAGGATCTATGTCTTCTATAAAGTCCAGAGGAGCTCTTAGCGCCTAAATTAGGGACTAGAGTTTCAAAGGTACCACCAAAGAACTAGTTTAGGAGGAAGAGAGGTGGATTACAAGCTAGAAATTGGATTTCTTCCAGACAAGGTCTTAACATACAGGCTAGAAGTTGATCCCATGTTGTCTGCTCTATTGTAATTTACGTAGAGCAGGTTCATGACTCAGGCATCCTGGTGGGGTGGAAAGGGATGACTATGAGCACAAGGCATGACTGAACTTGAATATTTAAAGCAAAAAAAAAAAATGTAGAACTAGCATCTCTCTAAATGGCTCTTCCTGGGTTTGTTACTGGGTTTTAGCTCTGAGGCAGAAGATACAGAAAAGGGAAGTGGAAGGAGGAAGCCATTCAAGGAAACACAGGCTTCATTATGGAAAAGCATCAGGAGACCTCTGGATGAGATGTCTTCTAGCCGAAGGACACCAACTGTAGCCTATGATGTAGTGGGGCCCCATGTGATCACCTAGTGTGAATTACAAGGCAAGGAGATAGGAAACTGTGGATTTTTGTATTGGCAACATATCACCTCCTGGACTACAGGGGTTTAGAGCTTCATTTCCTGATTTACCAAGGTCAGTGCCCACACTGAACTAGTGGAGTGGCTGATTGCAGTTGTATATTTAATCTTCAGTCTCTCTAATTAGACTATAAGCTCCATGAAACTAGGGATCACATTTGTTTGTTCATCATTTTATTACCAGGGCCCAGAATAGTATCTAGCACATGGTAGCTATAAAGAAATATAATAAATGAATATAATTTGGAGCCATGGGAGAGAGGGGGAAGATGGCAGAAGAGGAAGACGCAGAGATCACCTTCCTCCCCACAGATACATCAGAAATACATCTACATGTGGAACAACTCCTACAGAACACCTACTGAACGCTGGCAGAAGACCTCAGACCTCCCAAAAGGCAAGAAACTCCCCCATGTACCTGGGTAGGGCAAAAGAAAAAAAAAAGACAAAACAGAGACAAAAGAATAGGGACGGGACCCGCACCAGTGGGAGGGAGCTGGGAAGGAGGAAAGGTTTCCACACACTAAAAGCCCCTTCTCGGGCAGAGACTGCGGGTGGCGGAGGGGGTAAGCTTCGGAGCCACGGAGGAGAGCGCAGCAACAGGGGTGCAGAGGGCAAAGTGGAGAGATTCCCGCACAGAGGATCGGTGCTGACCAGCACTCACCAGCCCGAGAGGCTTGTCTGCTCACCCGCCGGGGCGGGCGGACCTGGGATCTGAGGCTCGGGCTTCAGTCGGAGCCCAGGGAGAGGACTGGGGTTGGCGGAGTGAACACAGCCTGCAGGGGGTTAGTGCGCCACAGCTAGCCGAGAGGGAGTCCGGGAAAAAGTCTGGACCTGCCGAAGAGGCAAGAGACTTTTTCTTCCCTCTTTGTTTCCTGGTGCGCGAGGAGAGGGGATTAAGAGTGCTGCTTAAAGGAGCTCCAGAGACTGGCGTGAGCTGGGGCTAACAGCGCAGACCCCAGAGGCGGACCCTAGAGATGGGCATGAGACGCTAAGGCTGCTGCTGCCGCCACCAAGAAGCCTGTGTGCGAGCACAGGTCACTCTCCACACCTCCCTTCCGGGGAGCCTGTGCAGCCAGCCACTGCCAGGGTCCCGGGATCCAGGGACAACTTCCCCGGGAGAACGCACGGCGCGCCTCAGGCTGGTGCAATGTCATGCCGGCCTCTGCAGCTGCAGGCTCGCCCCGCACTCCGTACCCCTCCCTCCCCCCGGCCTGAGTGAGCCAGAGCCCCCAAATCAGCGACTCCTTTAACCCCGTCCTGTCTGAGCGAAGAACAGACGCCCTCCGGTGACCTACACGCAGAGGCAGGGCCAAAACCAAAGCTGAACCCCGGGAGCTGTGCGAACAAAGAAGAGAAAGGGAAATCTCTCCCAGCAGCCTCAGGAGCAGCGGATTAAATCTCCACCATCAACTTGATGGACCCTGCATCTGTGGAATACCTGAATAGACAACGAATCATCCCTAATTGAGGAGGTGGACTTTGAGAGCAAGATTTATTATTTTTTTCCCCTTTTCCTCTTTTTGTGAGTGTGTATGTGTATGCTTGTGTGTGAGATTTTGTCTGTATAGCTTTGCTTTCACCATTTGTCTGAGGGTTCTATCCATCCTTTTTTTTTTACTTAAAAAAATTTTTTTTTCTTAATAATTATTTTTTTATTTTAATTATTTTATTTTACCTTACTTTATTTTATTTTCCAGCCGCTCCGCGGCATGTGGGATCTTCCCGGACCGGGGTACGAACCCGTGTCCCCTGCATCGGCAGGCGGACTCTCAACCACTGCGCCACCAGGGAAGCCCGCCCTGTTGGCTTTTGAAGCTACATGTTCTGGGGGCTTGTCTCTCAGGTGCAGGTCTTAAAATGGGATGGCTGGTGTGGAGTTAAAACCCTTCACTCCTCAGGGAGAAACTTGGGGTTGTGAGTTCCCTCCCAACTGTGGTCACAGTGCTGAGGGTGGGGTTTATGGCAAGATTTTGTCTCAGCTGCTCCTAGCTTTCCTTCTTCGTTTCTTTCTTCCGCCTTTCCTTCCTTTCTTTCTTTCTTTCTTCCTTCCTTTCTTGCTTGCTTTCTTGCTCTAATCTACAGTAACAATCTCTCTTAATAGGAATATTTAGTCTACTTCTGTTAAATATTTATTCTAAATATGGGAAATATTTTAATCTACAAGTACTTTTGTCATGATAGGTGTCATAAAGTAATACTATTCATTTATCATCAATAACCCACAAAGTAAATTTTGTAGACATAAAGATCACTATATAATGATTCCCTAATTACATTCAAGTAATTGCTTATTATTGTGAAATTTTTTCAGTATAAAATTCAACTTCTGTTAAAATAGATTAAACTTACAAATTTTGATATAGTTGGGTGTGTGCCAATTTTTTTCTTCTCTTTTGTTATTTCACCTATGGCTATAAATTATTTGTTTCTTTGTTTATGTGTTTGCTCTAGGGTTTACCATATGCATCCTTAACATGTAGCAATCTACCCTGAAGAAACATAACTGTTCATGTATAATGTAACATTTTGTAAAAGTGAACTTCCATTTACATCTCTTTCTTTTGTCATACATACATTTTGCCATACATTTTACTCATACATTTTCTATGAATTACACAACACATTGTTATTATTTTCGCTATAAAAGTTGATTGCCCATTTTTACTGATTCCACCAAGCACAACTAAAAAGCCCTGGATATTATATATAAAACAAACATAAGACTCTGAAAGGTAGAAAAAAGAAGGCGAGTGGGTAGCAACATTGTGGACCAAGGAATGAAAAGGTAGTGGGTTCCCTGGGTTTGTTTTTGGCTTCATATATCCTAGGCCTGTTATTGGAGAAGTCAGAAATCTGAAAATCTAACATGTACGAACAAAAAATCCCAAACCAAAATGTGCTCTCTATAGCCAGATGACCCAGAAAAGGGGCAACCTAGCAAGACAGAAATGTTTTAGATGATAACCACTCATCCAAACACAACAGGAAAAACTGTGGTTAAATCCAGTGGAGCCTAGACTTCCACCCTCACCAGGCTGGGTGGGAGCCAGGAATTTCATCCCCACTGCCACCAGGTGTCAGTGGAGAGCCTAGACTTCCACACCCATTGAGCAGTAATAAGGCGCCTGTCTCTTTAATGCTTACGTTGTGTCAGAAGATGCCTAGTGGAGAATCAGAACTCAGAATCAAAAAAGTCTAGAACTAACAGTGGGTTCAGAAAGATCACAGGATACAAAATAAACATATATAAAAATCAAGTGTAATTCTATGCAGTTGCAATGAACACAAAGACACTGAAATTAATAACACAATATTTAGTTGGTGTACATCTAAAAATATATTTACAAGACTTGTGTGCTGAAAAATACACAATGCTGACGAAGAAAATGAATGAAGATCTAAATAAAAAGAGAAACATACTGTGTTCATGGACTGGAATGCTGAAGTAGTAATGATGTCAATTCTCCCTAAATTGATATACAAGTTTAATGCAGTTTATCTCAAAATCAGAGCAAGATTTTTTTTGCCACATGAAAACTTCTACATAAATGTTTATAGCAGCTTTATTCATAATAGCATAAACTGGAAACAACCCAGATGTTCTTCAGCTGGCGTATGTTTAAACAAACTAAGTACATCCAGCATGTAGCATTACTCAGCAATACAAAAAAAAAAAAAAAAGAACTATTGATACACACAACAAACTGAAATGAATCTTCAGAGACTCATACTAAGAAAAAAAGCCCATTTCAAGTGATTATATAATGTATGAATCCATTTATAGAACATTTCTGAAATGACAAATTATAGAAATGGAGAACAGATAGTAGTTAACAGGGCTTAAGGAAAGGATATGGGCAGGAGAGAAATGGGTCTGCCTGTAAAAGGGCAAAATGAGGACTCTTGTGATGAAGATATTCTGTATCCGGCCTATTACCATGTGAATACCGTGTCTGTGATAATGTACTATAGTTTCATAACATGTTACTATGTGGGAAACTGGGCAAAGGGTACATGGAATCTTTCTATAGTATTTCTTATAACTACTGAGTAGTTTTTAGTTTAGTACTCTTATTTTTCTTGAGTATAATCATATATGCAAATAATACTTTGCATCTACCTTTTAAATATTATTCACTTTTTTCAGGTTGTATCTTATTGACAAAAAGTACCAAAGCAACATGAGATAATGGGGATAAAGAATATTTTTGCCATCTTCTCTTTTAATAAGAACATATCTAGTATTTTTTCTCTTGGCATATGCATTTGGTTATAAATAGGTATGTATTCCATAAGCCCTTAGCTGTGATTCAAAAATCCAAGCAGCTTTGGAAACAGTATTTTTTCCTAAGTTTGGGGTCTTAACACATTGGATGAAAAATCTGTTGTG